TCAATTTGCGAGCGGGATTCGATCCCGTAATGTAATGTTCGGGCGGTTCACAGCCATATTCATATTATGTCAGACTGTGATCAGCGGGTGGTTATCTTTTACTAAATAGTTTCCAAAGAACGTCGAATGTTGTTTCCTTCTGAATTATTTTATAAGTGCTTTAAAATATTGAAAATGAAAGTGAAAAAGAATCTTATATCGACGGTTTTAAGACGGGACCATCAAATTGAAGCTGTCTTTCTAATAAAGGAGTACAAGTTTGTTTTTCTAACACACCTCCTGGTTGAGAAATTATAAAGCTTTTTCCTATACCCAGCTATGACTAATGACATAGCCCCTCAAAAGATTATAATTTCTCTATGCTTCATGCCTCATCTTGTTCTGATATGTCCATGAAAATAATGTCGTGATTTTAAAAGTGGTCTAAGTATCAAAATGTTGCTTTTTTTTCTTGGTCTAACATATTAGGCTTTACTGGCTTCAAACGTGTCTTTTGAAGTTCTCTTACACCTCCCCTTTAATATTCGCCCAGCATATTCATAATTTATGCTACTTTTAATACCAGTCCTCTAATTCCGTGTAGGCATACACAGGTTCAAAACTTCTTCAACTATATTGTATTCTAAAATAAAACTGATTAGTATTCATATCAAGCAAAAGTGAAACAATGTAATTCTCTTTGATTTATGGAGAGTCCAAATGACTCTACTTACAAATGATTTTCATAAAAATGATTCGATTCCTTAAAATAGACCGTGGCTGATTTTCGGCACAAATTATCATATCATTCGACTCAACGCGACTTTATAAACTGGTACATTGACGAAAGCAACTGACTAAAAGATAATATGGCTATCTTCTAGGTTTTAGAGCCTTGTAATCTGGTAGAAGTTTACCATCGTTGAAGAGGTGCTTGCTGCCTTCATCATCAGGGCGATGGCCCTGAGTAAACCGCGCGGCTTTCTCGACACCCTGATGATGGAGGCAGAAAACACCTCTGAAACGTAATAAATGGCCCTTCCGTGTCACGCATTCTGATTAAATTGCCCTGAAAATAACTGATGAAGAATATAAATTATGATGTCCCTTTCCCATTTAGTTATTAGACAATTTTCCCATAGGCCCATGTATCTTCGTCGGTATTTTTTCCAAATATCACATTCTCTCATAATATATTTGTATGTATGACCACAATTTAAATTTACACATGATAAAATTAATTTCGTTAGCTCGCACACTTCAAGCAACTTTTTTGTCAACTATTAGCCCGTAGTTAAACCGAGTTATCGTGTGAACAACGCGAGTACGACTATGTCAGACGACGAGGAAACTACAATAACTTTCACTTGGTTCCACTAAGCACAAAATGTAACATTAATAAAAAGACTTTCTATGAATCTGTGATACGTAACGAATTTAAAGGGTCATTAAAACTTTTTTTACCGTGAAAGTTGTTTCGTGTGTAAGGAAATAATGCTCCCTGGCGTGAGAGAGTAAATACAAGTCATTACGAGGATTTATGTAATGACAAGGCGTGAAGTTATTTGTAATAATGACAATGACAGTTCACATCAGGGCGTTTCCCAGACAAATTCTGAGATGTAATATTATGAATAGGATGTTTTAAACGTAGAATGTGTGAAGTTTAAAATATGACAATATACATTTTAATTTATATTTGTAAATAAAATTGAAAACATAGAAGAGATTATGAAAACTAATTACACGGGGTTTAATCTCCGGCAGAGGCAGAGGATTTTTCTTCTACCTTCTGCGTCCAGGAAGGCTTTGGGGCCCACCCAGCCCCCAGTTCAATGGGTACCGGTGCCCTTTCCTGGGGGCAAAGAGCGGCCGGGGTGTGTCGCTGACCACTCACCCCCATCTAGTGCCGAAAAGGTCAAGAAAGAGAGGAGCTATATCTCCACTCACCCCCCAAGCGCCTTCATGGCGTCTAGTGGGGCAGCTTTAATATTCTAATTTCAATTGTGTTAGATATATTATTTTATTATTGAAAAGGAAACTGTGATTTATTGTATCAGAATATTAAATACTGAAAGAGAAACTACATACACAACAGATAAAGATAAAATAATAATATTAAAATGTACCTTAAGAAAATGTTATGAAATTTTAATTAAGTTGATAGCACATTTTAGAAAGATTTCTAGCCATCTCCTGTAATTGTTTAAAAAGTGTGTTCTCCTCATTGGTAAACTGCTATCACAAGAGTAGTATTTTATTGATTGATGGTAGATTTTCATAGTAAATAATTGATTTATGGGAACGACCTGCTATTAGATTGTATTACGTGACGTGACGTGAGTAATGCAAAAAATATAACGAGGTAATTTCCAGGACACAATAATTTCATATGATCGTCACATTACTAATGGCGATCGAGGCTGGTGAACATTCTTGCTATGAGCATTAGAAACACAGAAATGTGAGACAGAGCTGCCAAATTATGGTGAGATATCTAGAGACAAGAAAAACGTACTTTGAAATGCATCTCATGAATTACTTGTTACAGTGATACTATTTTCCAGTTCCATAGCAGCGTTAACAAACTTGTTAGCCATAGCTCAATTACGAAGCTGAAACCGTGTTGTTAGTGATAGATTACCTTAATTGAACTGAAACTAGTCATATTACGGTACGTATTTTTCTTACACCCTGTCCTCTTTACTTGAACGTTCGTCTGAAGCAGACAGTTTTAATATCATTTAATTAACGGGCAAAAGTGCTGAGAATTTTATATTTAGTAACAGTCGACTCTTGTTAATGTAATGAGATAATTACGTCAATTGAGAAGTGAATCATTAGTGTACATAATTTAAATTCCTTCAATGAATTCATTGACAACATACAATTACGAAATTAAAATTGTGTTCCTTATCCTGTGTCCATATTGATACCTCTTATTAAATTAGACAACTTAATTTAAGATAAGACAAACAAATGAATATCATCTACAACCCTGCATTAAAATATTGCCATTGGTTGCCAAAGGCGTGATGGTATTATAACTAAGTACGTGTTTCTGATTCTTCATCACAATGCACGACACATTTATAACATAAACACAGCTAATGAAATCTTCAAATAGTGCACAGTTCAGATGTTTTGGAACGACAGTAACACAAAGATTGCATTCACGAAAAAATTAAGAACAGATTTAGTCCAGTGAATCTTTGTTTTGGTTATTTCGTCACCTAACTGGTTACTGACTTCTCCAACAGTGAAAACCCAGTGTGTAACCGTCTGAGCTATGGCACAGCCTGTAAATAATCTTTGATAAAACTGATATAAAACCTGTTAAAATCCACTTTTCCTAACTTATCGAAGTGACAATACCGCATCTGACTTGTGTCCGGAAGTACTTGGTTCGAGTGTTGGCCAGTCCACAGACTGCCCTAAAGTTTATGGTGTTTGTCGTGATTTCGTCAGGTCAACGGTGATGGTAATGCCTTGGTCGCTTCATTTAACACCAAGATAAGATAATCTTGACATCTTTGTCGATGCCACATAACATCTGTAGTTGAGACAAAGCCGTTAAATAACCTGAGAATCAAACAGTTTAGATGAATTAGATGTGTGTGCATGCTGTGGAACCCGTTTTGAGTCCGCTTGTACGAGGCCGAATGATGCTGACCGGGAGGCCAATGACCTTGAGACGGAGGCCCTCGGCCTGAAAGACTCCTTGTTGCGCCCATATATGGATGCGAAAGCTGTAGACTGCACTCGCAGCCCGATCAGTAGATTACGCCTTGGAATACGATAATCATCAACACCATCACCGCCGCCATCATAATCACACACGGGATGTGCCTTTGTCGGATGTCCAGACAGAGTTGTTGCTTGTTTCCCCTCGGTTTCTGTAGGCAAATATGCTACTACTATCTACTTCAAGATCCTTGCTTCACTAATGCAGTACAAGTACGACTCCAAATAATCTAAAGCCAGCCAATAATTTCAGCACAGAACATTTCAGTAGCAACGATTACCGGTTATTGACAAAGAGCTTTTTTATTTTTGGTGCAAAATCGGAATAACCCACATGTAGGTCCATCGTAATCGTAAAACTTAATACGTAGTTTTGTGACTTTCTGTAAGGGTACTAACCAAGGCTTGTAAACTGTTGCCTGTAGATGTGAGGTGAAGATGTCGATGTTGTTGGTCTCCTGGGTGAGGCTCTGTCTCTGTGAATCTAGGTCCATTGTTCGTCCCCCAGATTACAAATGAATGAGTGTGGAGAAGCGGTGGAATATTATTGACAGGAACATTTAGAAGAAATTATAGAAGAATCTGTCCCAGTGACACTTTATCCATATCCCACACGGACTAACCTGGGAGAGAAGCCGAGTCACCGCGATGAGAACGTCTGGATTGTTCTGTTGTGTGGACTAATCAGTTTTGGAATAAAGTCTTTCCACATACATCATTACAGTATTCTGATCTCTTTGTTCCGAATGATGGATGTGGCCACTTCTCAGAACACCGCAACACAGCTGGACGTGCCTTATATTGATAGTATTTCTCAACTGGTGTACCACGTCGCACGGGTATGCCGCGAAGCTCGATCTTAGAAGTCTAACAATAGTGAGCTAATAGAAGTGGGCTTTTGCTGAGTCTGAAAGATATGTTTCAGACTGTGGAACTACTTCTGCCATGAATGTGGAGGCAGCGTGTTCGTTCGAAACGTTGGTAAGCAACGAGACTGTAGTGTCACAATCTGAAAAAACCACAGTGTGATTTTTGAGCCTTGTTTTGTCACCTCTTCGACGATTGCTACTAATTTTTTGTGAAAATGCTATTGTTTCTGTACTTTTCACATTTCTTTGTAATCGCTTTGTACATTTCAAATAGTCTAGCCATTTGAAACGTCAATAATTTATTTTCTTTGTCGCTCTTGTTATTTATTACGTCTTTATAAAATATTACTCGCCTCTTGTTTATCTCTAACATAAAATGCATATTGCAGAATTTAATATAAACGGGTATAAAGAAGGGTCAGTACAATTTATGCACACAGTCATAAAATGTTACAATAATACATAATTCGTCAAGCTGTGAGATATTAAATTATATTAAATTCTATATGCTGCCCAGTGGAAACACTTCACTAATAACTAAAAAAATACATGTTTTCATTGGCTATTTCAAATTTTATTTAATTAATTTTGTACTACACCTCAATTTTCATACGTGTTTTTAGAACACTGGGGCCTGATTTTTTCAACTTCATCTCAGTTTCTGTGCTTTCTGGTTTTTGCGGATGGTGGACACGCTACCGGTGTCTACCTGAGACTGAGACACCTCCGCTCGCCTAGGGAATCCCTTCGTGTCCCACACATATTCAGGCCCGAAGAACTCCTTGGGAAGTGTGTCCCGGCCGGGTAGGATCATCTCCTGGTATATAAACGATGGGTCTTCTTCCGATTGACCATAATTGTAATCATCATCTTTACTGACGTCATTATCCACAGGCGCTGCAAGGCATAGTCCTGCTGTTGCTATGGTAACAAGGCACATCAGTAGAACTCTCATGGTGTAAACGTCTGAAAACAGAACAAATTAACTTTGTTGGTCCTTGTCCTTATGTTTCCGCGGCTGAATAAAACAGCAGCAATATTCTTAATCTAAATTGTATTTAAATATTCAATTGTTATTTTAATTCAATTCCTGTCTCCGAGAAAACTCTGTATGTCCATTACAAAGTTTGGAAAGTTAGGAAAACTTGTAGCTATTTAAAGATGGATGTCTTTTGGGTTGTAGCGCCTTGTGGTCTGGTAGAAGTTTGACAACATTACAGGGGTGTTTGACTTGTCCTGATGATGGAGGCAACAAGCAGCTCTGAAACGTTGTACTTCTACCTTACTAAATACATTGTACTACAACCCAGAAGCAGTCATCTCTGAGGACCTCAGATCATAACAACAGCAATTTATCCTGTGATCGAGCACATAAACGTAGCGATATTGTTTGCTACAGAAAGTGGTGCACTTAACACTGAGTGAAAAATACTTTATGTCATTCTGTATCATTGCAAACAAAGAGTGTGACTTACTGTGGAATGCTGAGTGAGACAATGTTTCCAAGTCGTACTGCCAGTCTCCTCTGAAGGTAGAACCTTAACTGCGTATGATTATATACAAACTGGTTTGTGTTTCTCCGTTATGTACTGTTTTTGTGCTTAAAGGCACGGAACAAACAAGCAAATGGCTTCGTGTTACTCATCGCTGTACCCCCAATTAATGATTACGTCTTCTAAATAGTAATCTCTACAATTGCATTCGTGAGACCGTGCTCAAAACCTAAACTCGTTTTACAGCAGAAAGTTTTCTTGGAACTGTTAGGAATCAGGAACACGATATCACGAAGAGTGACGTCATTGCTATGACTGCATCGGGGCTAGCATGAGGCAGGGATATAAAGTTCTTCGGCGTCTACATGACCCTACCTATAGTCGTCGTTGTTTGATTATTCGTTAATT